TTTATGTCAGGCCAAATTTAAGAGGAGGTTGTGCCTTTAATATAGACAGTTAAAGAATGCTATGTAGTCCATTTATCAAAAGGAAATGTCAGCAAAACTTGATATTCTGGTAATTAGATAACCCAGATAAATCTGCCCAGTTCTGTATGCTCACAACTGCTAGCCTAGATAACACTTCCTGAAGAGAATTAGAAGCACCCTACACAACGTGATACATTTGGTATAATTCAAGTTCCATTGCTTTTGCTTTCCTTGGACTTGCAGAGGGAAGGGAAACTAAGATCCAGCCTAGCACAAGCCTTCTGTGAAGTGTTTCCCTATTGCTTGCTGCTCTGAACAGAGCAGCTAATTTTCACTGACAACATCGGCTATCCGCTTTTTTCAAAGAAGCTCAGAATCAGATCAGCAGCTGTGCCAAATCGTCACAATTACTGGACAATGAAGAATTCCACAATCCCTTTGATTTAAAATAAATTAAGGTAAAAGCAGTCTGTAACAAAAAGTCTGAGGGGATAACATCTGTCAGTCAGGTGACCTTTGTAAACAGATGTATTGTATATAGGAACCATCTCTTAATGGAGCCTCGAAAAGGAAAACATTGAAGTGAGAGCCAGGTTATATTGTGATAAATACCTTTAAGGCCTGATTCTCAGTTTGACTAAAGCTCCTCTGCACAATTTGGGCAAGAGTCTTAGTGTAAATGAGAATCAGGCCCTTTGATTTTCATGGTTGCTGAAGAAGACCTGGAGGGATTATTAATAATAAACATGGGCCTGGTTCAAGGAGTCTGATTCTCTATGGCCTTGGTAATCATTTATACCAGCGCAAAGTGGATATAAAATATTACCAGTCAGTTGCACCCATTTTGCACAAGTATAAATAGAGCTGGTCAAAACAAGGAACACATTTTTCATTAAATTTGTGTGAAAAAATGTATACTTTTTTTCATCAAAAAATTTTGAAACTGGAAATGTTTTGACCAATGTTAGGTGTAAATGATTGCACAAGGTGCAAGGTAGGGGAGAATCAGAACCGAGGACAACTTTGCTGCTAGGGAAGAATAAAAAACATGTCATTATCGGCCACCCTGTTTGGCTCAAATGGCAGCCTATGCTAGAGGGTGGCCCATGCCACTTGGGTTCCAGAAAATTGGCTAGAAAGTTCATATTACCGGTGCTCACTAAGCATGACCTACGGATAAAGTGGAGGCAATTCAGTATTGCCAGCTTTTTTGATTTTATCATGAGTCTCACAAGATTGGTGAGGGTCAGGGGAAGGTTAATGTTTCATGGTGACCTCACTATTCCTGGCTTCAAAACTCATGAAATTTCTCTTATTCAAAATGGCCACCATCCCTCATTACTTTCAATATGTCTGAAACCAACCTGCCCTCAGCCAATATGATCACCATTCCCTACAAGCTTTGCATGTAGATCTGAGACTGCCCCTAGCAAAGAGGGTGCAAGTGGTTAGGAGATGATAAAGGAAGTCACCTTCCAAGCAGCCAGTGAGGATGCCCTCATTTTTGCAGGTGCATTTCAGGTTGAACTTGGAACCTGAAATGCTCACACACAATGAAAGTAGGCAGCTTCCCCCAAAGGCTCAAAAAACAAAAGGCAATTTATTAGATAGATAGATAGATAGATAGATAGATCAGTACAATTTGCACCAATATAACTGCCTCCACAGTTATACCAGCATAACTATGTCAGTAAAAACTCACACCTCTAACCAACACTTATGCTGGTACAAAAACTGTGTAAACCACACCTTCATGTAGACAATAACGTGTTTTGCATAGCTCCTCCCAGCTGGCACTATGATAAATATTATATGCCTTGCCTACACTAGGTTGTGTCTAAATTGTGCTAGTTAAGGCATTGTGACAATACAAGATTTGCTAATGCAGACAAACAATCAATGGGATTGCCAGTGTCTTTCAGTTTAGAATTCATTTGTGTACTTTCTGAATCTTTTACTTTTTCTTTCACTTTTTATCCCAAACCAAGGTCAGTCTGTATCTCTGCCTACAGGATGCATTCTAAATAGAACAACAGTATTCTTGGAGGGGAGACTGCTATAATCACATTGTCTGTGCACTTATTTGACAGTATATTGTATGTATATCCTCTGCAGAATGATGTATGCTTCCATTTTGTCATGGAATGTTATTCCATCCAAGAACCATAAAATGATTTGCAAAGCAGGTTGACATCTTGCAGATGGGCAAATTGAAATACAGGGCTTTTTTTATGTTCCCCCACACCATAGCATCAGAGCACCTCCCAAACATTCATACAACTATCCTCATAACACTACTATGAGGTAGGGAAGTATTATTATCCCCCATTTTACGGAGGCAGAGCGAGATTAATTGACACAGGTCCAAGGGTCCCTCAGGAAGTCTGAGGGGAGAGCTGGAAATAGAATGCAGTTCTTCTGAATCCCACTGCAGTGCCTTAACCACACAACCATCCTTCCCCTCCCAAGGTTACACATGAAGTCTGTGGTAGATCCAGGAATAGAACCCCAGTTTCCTGACGCCCAGACCATCCTCCCTCCCTGTGTGCAACGTGAACACAATACCTCTTTAAAACAACTTTTAAAACTATTTTTTGCAATTAAAACTAGGACACACTCTCCATGTCCAAGACTTAATATATTTTCTATTGCTGTTGATGCTCACTGTTTACAAAATTCCTTAAACTAACAAGGTGGTGCATACTTCTCTGCTAATTATTTCATACTGTGTCAGTGCCCTTCACTTTTGAACAGTACTTATTAGTACTAACCCTATTAAATATGTAGGCGGGTGAGGCCCCTGAATATCACCATGTCTCATAAAGAAATTGCATCTAGAGTCACCCAAGCTGGTACATAAAGTAAAATATACCTTCCTGCACTAACTAATCCCCCAGGGGAGATTAACGCTGAGAGAGGGCAGTTAAACTTGCTTCCACTGATCTCTCCTTTAGGCTTTGTCACCTGGCGGGAGCAGCTTTATGTTGTTGTGGTCCATAGGCACCATGCAGATAAAGGCAGATCAGTCGATATGCTGATTAAGGAGGGTCCTGATTCAATGCCATATTAAAATCAATTTCAATCAATTTCAATGGGCATTGGATCAGGCCCTGAATTCCCAGCTGTTCTAGCTACATTGCGCCCTTGAGCCTGTGCCTCTCACCTTGTAGGCAGAAGTGGACCCTTTGAACCCCTAGTGGAGGGAAGGTTTCTTCCACTTTCTGGAAAAAGGAGCCTTATGTTTTATCAATAGGACACATAAAGATACATTAAAATAATTCTCGTCAGCCTCCCGTTATCTTTAAGGATGTATGGTTTATCACTCCACCAGCAATGATGGTAAGAAATGATGACACTTCTTTTTGTGAGCATTCATTCATTATTACTATTGGTATTAAGGTAGCACCTAGAGGCCCCAACAGTTGGGGCCCCTGCCCTCAGTGTGTTCGGTGCTGTACAAACCCACAATGAGAGACAATTCCCATCCCAAAAATCTTAGGGTCGGAAGGGAAACAGAGGCACAGAAAGGTGAAGTGACTGGCCCAAGATTTTACAGCAGGACAGCTGTGACTAGAACCCAGGTTTTCTAATTGCCAGTTTAGCGTCTGAGCCATGAGACTACACTGCCTCAAGCCAGCCTCTCTCCATACATTCAGTCAATGGTGGGTCAAATTAATAACAGATTAATTTTGTCATTAGCAGAGTTCCATGTATGTTATTGCTTATTTAGAAGCCATGTTCCTCACACTGACATTTGCAGACTGCTTTTCTGTTGTGATATATTACTCATCTCAGGAAAATCTCCAATTAAATGGATTATATGTGGGAATCAATCCACTTAAAGTTAAGTCAAAGTATCTCATTTAATGATAGGTTTGAGGAGGAGGCTTCATAATTTAGTGTTACAGATCATCACTTGCAATGATACATTGACTATTTGTGTTCTGGACATGTTCTTCTTTGCTAATAGGGCCTGATCCGATCCCATTGAAGTCAATGGGAGTATCTCCATTGTCTTCAGTGGACTTTGAATCAGGCCAGTAATGATCAGCCACAGTCTGTTATAAAAGATCAGAATGGAAATGATTTCTTAGAGTTTTCAAAAGCGCATTGCAGCTTGCAGGCATGCCAGTTAGTACAAACTGTAACTCAGTTAAGCTGCCTTGGCATTAAAGGCCAAATTCACCACTGGCACAATGGGGGTTTGACTCCATTGTGCTCAGATATCATAGTGATAAGTATAGTGCATGTATTTTGAAACAATAATAGATTTGATAGATAGATATACATTAAAGTCATTGGAGTTGCAATCACTTATACCATCAATCAATTTAGTCTCATATGCCTAATAGAACTCCCTCTTATTCTAAGATGGACGTTTTGCTTTTATTCAGGTTTAATTTGTGATGCTCACTTTTTATGGCTATACATGAAGGATTTGGCCACAGATGCCCATTCTGGCATGCCTGGTGCACCCAAAATTCCCATTGACTCCAAGGAGAATTTGGGGATCTAAGAAATAACAGCCTGAGTCCTTAAAGGTTCCATGTATCAACAGGAGGATGCTTGAATTGATCCTTCTAAGAGAATTATATGGTATATGTTTATATACACTACAAAATGACTGTACAGATATTACTCAGACTTTCCACAGAAGTTCACTTTTGAGGTAAGACAAGCATATGTTGTGTCAACCTCAAAGGTCAATCATTCAGAAAGGTAAGAGGGAATGAAAAGTGTAAGGAGGGATTTACATCAGAGAAGTTCTTTTCCATCCTTTCTTGCAACTTTGAGTCCTATCCCTGGTCCCCCTAATCGCCTACAGAAGTATGTCAGATCTTTGATTGGCCATTGATGGCAAAATTGGATCATAAAATTTTTTGGAAAGTAAAGATATCTTTTTCGTTATCATTAATAATATTTATTTTGGAAAAATATTTTAAAAATGAATTTCTTCATTAACAAAACAGTAAAAAAAAACTCAAATAACATTTGCACAATATTCCATAAATACATTTATATACAAAAAATATAGTCACATAGACCCGAAGTGCCTTTGTACATATTTACCAAAAAAATTAAATTATAAAAAAATGAACATCACAAAATACTCAAGCTTTACAATTATCATGAAAATATTTTTACAGATTCAAAAAAATAACACACTTTTTTTCACCTAGTAAAAACACATTTTAGTATCAAAAAAGACATTAAAGGCAGTGTTTGTGTCTCTAATTCAAGAAAAGACTGGCTCGTAAGAATCCAAAATATACACTTTACGCAGTGCATGCTTCTTATGTAGTAATTAAGTCCCTTCATTTAAATATATATAGAAAAGCAACTGACCATAGTGCAATGATAAAATTCATAAAGGCAGTGCAACAGTTATTCTTGAACACAGATCCTTGCCTAGTGTCCATCTTGTTTTTTTGCAGTCACTTTGCTAACTTCAGTAGAGAACCAGCTCAGCCTGAATTTAGTTTCTCAGCAGCAGTCAGTGAAGGAATCTATCTCCCTTTCCTCTTTCAGCAGCATTCATTGGGGCATATCTCCTTTGAAATTGTTTGAACAACAACTTTGCCATATCACTTCCATTTTACACCTGTAGAGAGTTGAGAGAAGCCAAGAACAGAGAGAAGCAGAGTTTAGTAAAACATATAGAGGATCTCAATGATTAAGAGATGGACAGATATCAAGGAGTTCATCGGTGTGCTAGGGCAGAAGAGACTCCACAAATAAGGGATGACTCATAAATTAAAATTATACTGCAGCTGTGTCCCAATCCTGCAAGCTCTCTGTGTGTGGAACTCCCACTGAAGCGAATCATTTGCAGGATTACGCTTTATCTTAAAAAAAGTTATCAGTTTTACAACCTCCACACGAAAATAAACCCACAGGGCCAGATCTCACCGAGTGTAAATTGGTATAGCTCCATTAAAGGCAACGGAGCTGTGCTGATCTACACTAGCTCAAGATCTGGCTCAATTATTTTTATTTTCTTTTACAACCATTAGGCACTGTACTAACCTCAGTTGCTATGATGCATTCATCTTTCTCTTCTGATATGACATACACCGACTGGTACTTTGTGTCCTTTGAAGTGGAATATACTGATTCTGGTCGTTTTCTTTCAGAAGTATCACTATTGAAGATAAAACCAACAACAACAAAAATCAGATGGCTGCTACTAGTACCAACTAGGAAACATATACACCCTTTACAGTAAACTGTTGCCCCAGAGCTATTATCTGAACCGTACCTCTTTAGTGGCACTGCACTTTTCTCCTCTGCCTCTGAATCGTATGTTTCACACTTGGCTTCGCATTTGCTGTGTTCCTCTTTAACAGAGTCCTCATTCTTAAGTTCATGCACCAAATTGTAATCCACTGATGGGTATCTAACTTTGTAGCCATTTTTATCAGAGTTATCACTGTGAAAGTCTACTTTCTTATTTGTGTTTTTAATCTGAGTGGCACCAATGACACTTATTGAAATGTCCTTTTCGCGTTGGCAGTTGGCCAAGTTGTTCATGGTCTCTGTTTCACTCCTGCATGCATCAGGCTGATGGTGCCTCTTTTGCATTTTGAGTCTGACACAGACAACAATAGCAGCGCACCCCAGCAATAGCATCAGGACCAGAATAATCCCAGCACATACTGCAATCCAAGGAAACTGTGCATTCTGACCTTCAGTGTACTTCTCAGTGAAGTCAACAATTACAGGTCCCTGAGGCTGTTCAGGGAGCAAAAACTGGCAGTTGAGTCCACCATATCCCCGAGCACACTCACACACATAACGGTTGTTTCTTTCATGGCAAGTAGCCCCATTGTGACAAGGGTTGTGTTCACATTTGCTGACTGGAGCACTACAGTTCTTTCCATTGTATCCTGGGGGGCAGGTGCAAGAATAGTCATTAATTCCATCTTGGCAGGTTCCACCATTCAAACAAGGAAAGGAGGCACAGTCATCCAAATTATCATCACAGTGTCTTCCAGTAAAACCAGCCTGGCATTGGCATATGTAGGAATTTCCAAGATCAACACACTGGGCTCCTGCAATATTAAATATAACAAATAATGGGTAAGTGTTTTTATAATATCAAGTAACAACTCTTCAGCTTCACAATGTACTTAAAATGATGAAAATCAAGGCCAAGACTTTAAAAAAATGGATGCCTAGAGACAAATATGGAATTAGGACCCCATTTCTGAACATGCTAGCTCACTCTTACAGTTTTTACCTCTGTTACCAGTAGCAAAACTTTTATTAATTTTCTAAATCTTATTTACTTTTCACCACTTATTCTGTTTACTTTTTTGTGTTTTACTCAGCTTCATCGGTGAAACTAGACTGAATCAATTTCACACCTTGGTTTTCATGAATTGGCACAATGTTGCAGAGTTTGGATTGCAACCAATGTGGAGGAATATTTTTAAAAAGCACTTTTTTTAAAACGAAAACAGCTTTACTACTGCTAAATAATAAAAATATTTACCATTTTGATGGCACATTTCATCCATAGAGCTCAAAACAATTTTACAAAGGCATTTTTAAAGTATTGCTATCGTCATTTTTTACAAATGTGGAACTTGAGGCACAAGAAGGCCAAATGCCAGATCCAAGGTCATATTGAAAGACAATACTATTTATACTATGAAGCCATGTCATGCCATCAACTTTTAAGCAGAACTCCTCCGTTTAGTCAATGGAGGAGTTCTAGATAAAAACTAATGGCACAACTCGACGGGGAGTTCTGATTAAAAACAATGGATTGACCTGGCCTATGATTTGTAATTTTATTTTTATACAAACCCTCAACTACATGACAGTGTCCCTTTAAGAGACAAAGGTATATAGTTTGCCTTACCATTAGCACAAGGACTGGAGCTGCAATAATCAATTTTCTTTTCACAGTTAAACCCAGAGTAACCCAATGGGCAGCGACAGCTGTATCCACCATCAGGGTTGTCTGTGCATCGCCCTCCATTGAAGCATGGGCCATCAGCGCAAGTCATAGCACTCAGCTCACAGTTTTTACCATAGAAGCCAGGTGGACAGGTACAGGAATAGCTGTTTTCAAGATCCTGTCGAAAAGAAAAGATTTATTCAATTTAAATAATTTAAAAATCAAAATGACTGTAAAACTGTCTTTAGTTGATCAGATGTTTAAAATATCATTAACTCCTTTAACTTACGGTGCAGCTTCCACCATTCTTGCAGGGGTTGGCATCACATTCGTTGATTTCAATCTCACAGTTGGAACCAGTGTACCCAGGACGGCAAGAACAAGTGTAGCTTCCCTGGCCAGTATTGGTGCAAGTGGCACCATTCTTGCAAGGCTTATGATGGGTACAGTAATTAAGATCTGAAAAAGATTTAAAAGAAGAGACAGATCCATAAAGATATGTGCTAGTTTGCAACTGTTGCATGGCTTGAATGAGGGATACTCTAGAAAATGCTGTTATTTTCTAAAAGACAATCATATGCAATGATCAAGAACTTACCTTGGTTACAGAAAAGGCCACCCCAGCCTTCCTGACAGTTGCATTGCCACGGTTGTTGACAGGTACCATGAAGGCAACCTGGGTATCGGATGCACTCATCACAATAACGCCCTTGCCACCCAACCCTACATCTGAAAAACAAACAAAGGATTGTCAGATTTGTACTTCCAACAGTTAGAAATCCTATCTCAAACTCTGCAAACACACTGAAGCAAAAACCAGGAATCAAGTTTCCTAAAAAGCCTTCCGTGATCCTTCATGTGGGAAAGTCACTGAGTCTAACTGTAGCATCAGTTTTCATCAGTCCCAGCTACCTCTTTCATTACCTTAAACAGAGCTATTGTTCTAGACACTTATTTTGTTTACTATCATAACAAACAGCTAACCTTACATATACTACTGTAAACTCATTAAGTTAATATTAATGACACTGATGTTTGACTTCTAGATTAATACTTTGATCTGGTATTATCTGGATTTCTCAGGTTACCATCTCCTATGAAGAAAAACACTTAAACTAACCCTCAAATGACAAATGTCTTATCTAAGTCTAGAGCATCAATTTGACATTACGGACCAAAAAAAAAAAAGGAAAAACCTCTGAAAACTTACTTGCATTCTCCAGGTTTGTCACAAAACCCATGTTGTTCATCACATCCAGGCAAGCAAATTGCTGCAGACAAATAAAATATATAGATACATAAGCTCCAGGGTCAAATACATCCCTTCTGAAAATACAGTTTTGAAGTGTCTTCTGGGTTGGGACAAACCCTCTTTCACTAGTTCAGTCAGTTAATAGCAGCTGAGTTAATCTCTGAAGGCTGGTGGAGTATTGATCTTGCTTAGTAACTGGGTACTTTACTTATCACTAGGGATGAGCATTCTTCTTAATACAGTTGCACACAGACAAAAGAGGACTCACAATTGCTCTCTTCCCTACAGCCCCTCACCCCCCTTTCCTTCCCAGTGAGGGTCAGAAGTCCTTTTTTCCAATTCTATGCACACAGCTCCACCTCTTAATATCCCCAGAAAGTGTGTGTGTAGATAAGAGTGGACAGCTGGTGTGCAGGGTGCCAGTGCAGGACAGCTGCTCTATTGTCTATTCTCTCCCAGCAGCTGCCCCACTGCAACAATACCCCCAACCCCTTGCAGCCAATCGGGGCTAAGACATGCTTCCCCAGCAGCCTATCCCTGCCCAGATCTAATCTATGGCACGCGCGTGATTTCTCTGCAAAAACTTTTTTTCTTATTCAAATAAATAAGTCTAAAGTTCTTCCTCCCCCCTGCAAAAAAGGGGGCGGGTGGGCACAAACATAGTAAAGAGGTAAGCAGGCCAGAAGGAGGGAGCGTGGGGGAAAAAGAGACTTCTGCTCATTATTTCGCCTGGTTATGGAACTCATTAAGCAGGCACTGCAAAGTTTTAATTCAACAAAGCTAGCTGGAGACAATGACATGCGAAAGAAAGAAAGAAAGAAAGAAAGAAAGAAAGAAAGAAAGAAAGAAAGA